GTAGTGGTGGTCACTGGTGTTGGTTATTGCAGGTACATGGTTCCTGTAGGTGAGTTGGTGGTGGTGACAGTTGTCTTTAGTGAAAACTGGTGTTGAACATCGGTCAGTAGAGGTTGGTTGTTTTCAGCTAGAAATGCTGGGGATGCTGGCTCAGTGAAACTGGCAGTGGGTAGTTGCCATTACTTGGATCCTTGTGATGGTGCTGTTGGGAGTTCATGGTTGACTTCTGGTGACAGTGATCAGTAACGGTGGTAGCAATTTATTGGTGGTGTTTGAAAAAGGTATGGATTGGCCAGCGCCGCAGCTCTCTAGGCTAATCCTCCGCCTACGGCACTGACACCCCGGGTTCTAGTCCCAGTTGGGGTGCCAGATTCTGTCCCGGTTGCCCCTCTTCCAGTCCAGCTCTCTGCTGTGGCCCGGGAAGGCAGTGGAGAATGGCCCAAGTGCTTGGGCCCTGCACCCGCATGGGAGACCAGGAGGAAGCACCTGGCTCCTAGCTTCGGATCAGCATGACGCACCGGCTGCAGCAGCCATTTGGGGGGTGAACCAATGGAAGGAAGACCTTTCTCTCTCTCTGTCTCTCTCTCTCACTGTATAACTCTGCCTCTCAAAAAAAAAAAAAAGGTATGGATGATGGTTGTTGCTTTATGGGATTTTTTTATTATTTATTTACCTGAAAGGCAAAGTTAGAGAGAGACATCGATCAATCAATCGATCTATCTTCCATCCACTGGTTCACTCCCCAAATGGCCATGATGGCCATGGCTAGGCCAGGCTGAAGCTAGGAGCCAGGAGCTTCTCTGGGTCTCCCACACTGGGTGCAGTGGCCCAGACACTTGGATCATCCTCCACTGCTTTCCCAGGAGCATTAGCAGGGAGCTGGACAGGAAGTGGAACAGCCTGGACTCAAACCAGTGACCATGTGGCATTGAAGGCAGTGGCTTTACTCACTGTGCAACAGCACCCAACCCTTGTGGACCATTTAATGGTAGTCAACTGCACGTGGCTGTTGCTGGCTGGTGTTGTTGCTGGTGGCTGTCACTGTCGATGCTAGTTGTTGTTATTGATGATGGTTGTTGGTGGAGACCGGTTGTAGGGAAGGTTGATGATAGCATGGTTTTCCCCCGTTTGACCCTGGCTGGTGGCGCTGGCACGAAGGTTATTAGCAGTTTCTGTTTGACTATATTGGGGCTCAGAGGCGGTAACTGGTTGGTGATGATGGGGTGGTTGTTTTCAAGCAAGGAGGCCAGTGACATGGCTGCTTGGTCCAGGGACAGGGGCCATGGGACAGACAGAAAAAACTGAAAGTCGGGGGAATTTGTGGGGTGCAGTGGGTACCTGCACTCCTCCTCCTTCTCCCCCACTGCTTGGGCCACTCATGTCCCATATCAGAGTACCTGGGTTGAAGTCCCAGCTCTGCTCTTGATTTCAGCTTCCTGCTAATGTGAATCCTGGGAGGTAGCACTGATGGCTCAAGGGACTGAGCCCCTGCCACCCACCTGGGAGGCCAAGATGGAGCTCCTGGCTCCTGGCTTCTGCCTGCCCCAGCCCTGGCTGTTGTGGCCATTTGGAGAGTAAACCAGCGGAAGGAAGATCTCTCTCTCTCTCTCTCTCTCTCTCTCTCTCTCTCTCTCTGACTCTGATTCTCCCTCTCTCAGTCCTGCCTTTCCAATAAATAAAATATGTTTTTAAAAAGAGGGGTTCAGGAGGAAGAATCAGTGAGACCTGCAACTGATGGGACATTTCGAGTAAAGACAGCGCCGAGTCAGACAGGCAGGTTTCCACCATGGGGGCTGGGGGCCTACTTCAGGAGCTCATCCCCAACAAGGCAAGGCCTGGGGCTCTTGGAGGAGGTGAGGAGTGGCCCCCTCAGCAGGCTCCACCTGCCGGACAAATACCCAAGGCAGGAGAAACCCGGTTTCCTGCAGGGTGGTAAGGGCCTCCTGTTGAGCAGGAAGGAAGTGAGACCCAGCGCTCACCTGAGGCAGGGAGGGGAGACTGCTGCCCGCACAGTGCGTGGATGCTGGGTGCAGCCCCAGGATCCCCCCACCGGCAGCGGCTTCACATCTCCTCTGGCAACCGCAGCCCACGGGACCCCAGCGGTGAGGGAAGGAAGTGGCTCTTTCGTTGCTGTCCCTGAGCTGCTCAGGGAGCAGGTGACCTGGAGCAGTCAGCGCCACCTGCAGCCCACAGCCCTGGGCCTTGGGTGCGTGGGACCCAGCCAGTTCACGGAGGCTGCTGACGGCCGTGGCCAGGAAGACCAGCACTGATGCGTGACCTCCTTGGCCTCGCTGAAGCTGTGTGCAGCCCGGTGAGGTCTGTGGCCCTTGATGTTCCCATTTCGCAAATGAAACGGAGGCAGGGGAGTACGGTGATCTGCTGCACAAACCAGAGTGGAAGAGGAGTTTCCACTCAGCCACTGCCAGGGACACCCTGACAGCCACCGCCTTCCTCACACCCTCCTCTCCCTTCCCCCTCCCCCTCCCCTCCCCTCCTCCCCCTCCTCCTTCCTCTTCTCCTCCTCCCCTACTCTGTCCCCCTCTCCTCCTCCTGCTTGGTGAGAGATCCCCAGGAGTAATGCAGACCCCTGCCCAACCCCCCAGGCTTCTTTGAACCTTGACCCTGCCTCCCAAAGCAACCTGGGTCCAGCACCCACACACCCACCTCCATATTGCCAGACCAGCCTTCCAAGGGAGCCCTGGCTGATGCCCCGCCTCTCCTCAGTCCCCTCCCACATGGTCTCCAGTGAGCAACTCCATTCACCCTTTGGGGTTCACTGCACTCCCCAAGAGTGGGGCCAGGCCCCAGCCGCGTCTCCAGCTGCCTCCGTGCCCAGGGGACTTCAGGAAGTGTGCTCTCTACAATCTCAAGTGCCCAGCGCCTCTGGAGCTGTCACCTTGACCACAAACAGCCCCTCCCTCCGCCCAAACCAAGACAGCCGTCCCTGCCTGTCCCCTGGGTGGAGGAAGATACTCCTGCCCCCACCCCCACCCCGGCCACCTCAAGCCCTGTCTTTCACAACAGCCCCAGCCAGTTGAGTCACACAGCTTGTGGCCACTGCGACCACAGCCTCTTCGTAGCTCCCCACCCCCAAGAGAAGGGACTTAGGAGGCCACAGTTTCAACTTGAGCCAGCAGGGGAGGATACCCCTGAGCCAGGGCAGGGGCAGTCTCAGACCCATGGTACCTCACTCATTCACTTATTCATTCATTCACTCACTCATCCAGTGTGTGTTTATTAATATCAGCTCCTATAGGCCAGGCCTCTGCCAGACACCGATCCACCAGCCACCGTGTCCTGAGACACCTCAGGGCTTCTCTCTCCCAACGTCCACTCTCGGAGGAGTCATTGTGAAGTCTGTTTGACAGATGAGGAAACTGAGGCCTGGAGAGGTGACACAGCCTCCCCCCTCCCTCCACATCCCCTGCAGCCACTCAGACGTGAGCACACTGGATGCTCTTGGGGAAAAGCCACTCCCTCTTTCAGGCCAATGGCTGCAAGGTTGGCAGGAAGGAGGGCCGGTCTAGGAGGCCGGGATGCTCAGGACAGGATGGAGCCCAGCAGGGCTGCAAGAGGAAGGGGGTCACTGAGCCGCCAGAGGGAAGGGGAAGACAGGAAGAGGAACTGTGTACTGGGGCCCAGCACAGCCAGGCAGCTGGCCTTGGGCCCCCAACTCCAGCAAAGGGAAGTGGCCTTGGTCTCAGCTCAGCCTGAGAAGTCCCAGCACAAGCAGACTGGACCGGTCCCGACCCATCCAACCCTCTCAGCCACCCAACCGAGCTGAGGAGGGGCAGCCTCATGGGTCCCTGTCTCCTGCACCACCGTGTTCCTGCTGTGTGACTTCAGGGGTCATCTGGCCTCTCTGTGCCATGTTCTGCCTCCTAGAAAAGGGACCCAAGAGCAGCTCAGTGGACCCCCGTGTGCCGAGGGGATGCCGCGAAGGAACAGGGTGGGAAGCTGAGCCCAGGGCCTGAGTGAGGGGCAGGCAGGTGCTGGTTACCAGGGTTACTGTGCAAGGCCCCACCCTACACAGGCTTCAGAAACAGAATCCTGTTTCCTGTGTCCCCACCCACTGGCTGGGCTGTGCCCGTCACCCCTGCAAACACCCCCACCCCACCAGCCAGCTCAGGGGAAGGACAGATGTGCCCAGCCCTCCTGCCCCAAGCACGACCCACCCCCACCCAGCGTGCTTGGTCTCTGCTCTCCAATACGCAGGCAGCAAGTGCGTGCTCCCTGGCCCCTCCCCCTCTCAGCCCACTTGGTCCTCAAGCCATCCTCATTTTGTCCACACGGCCTTACCTACCAACTTCTGAGCCCCTTCCCACCCACCCTTCTCTTTTGTTCTCCCCCTAAAGATTATTTGAAAGGCAGAGTGACAGAGAGTGGGGGAGAAAGAGAGAGATTTTCCATCCACACGCTGGTTCACTCCCCAAATGCCTGCAACAGCCAGAGCTAGGCTGGACAAAAGCTGGGAGCCAGAAGCTCCATCCAGGTTTCCCCCATGGGTGGCAGGGACCCAAGCACTTGAGCCATCACCAGCTGCCTCCCAAGGTGCACATTTGCAGGGAGCTGGAATGAGAAGGGGAGCCGGAACGCAAGCCTAGGCGCTCCACTGTGGGATGTGGGTGTCCAGTGTGGTTTCTTAACCCCGAGAGCAAATGCCCAGCCCAGGAGTTCTACCTGAAGGCCTAATGCTTTCCAGCAGAGGCTCAAGAATTCTTTGTGGAATGGATGGATGGGCAGGTGGGAAGGTGACGGGCAGCTTCAGATGTTTAGCCATAGAGAGATGTAGGAGATGTAGAGAGATCCGTTCATATGAACATTCAGGGACTGGAGCACACATTATGTGCATTGGTTAAGGTGCCTGGCTTCCTGTCTGGCTCTGCTTCTAATTCTAGCTTCTTGCAAATGCACACCCTGGAAGGCAGTGGAGTAATGGGCCCCTGGCACCCATGTAGGAGACCCAGATGGAGTTCCTGGCTCCTGACCCAGCCCCTGCTCTTGAGGGCATTTGGGGAATGAACCAGTCAACAGGAGAGCTCGCTCTCACTGCTTTTCAAATAAAATAAGTAATTTTAAAATATTCGTTTATGTATTTGAAAGACAGAGAAACAGAGAGAGGGAGAGTCAGAGAGAGATCTTCTAGCTGCTGGTTCATTCCCCAGACGGCTATAACAGCCAGGGCCAGGCCAGCCTGATGCCAGGAGCCAGGAGCTCTGTCTGGGTTCCCCACTTGGGTGGCCATCTTGCAGTGCCCTCCCAGGCGCATTAGTAGGAAGCTGGAATCAGAAATGGAGCACCACAACTCTATAGGGGATGCTGGCACAGGCAGCGGCTTAGCCCACCACAACACCAGCCCCAGGTAATTCTTCTGAAGACAATTCAGGGGTGGAAGTCATGGCGCAGCGGGTTAGGGTAAACCTTGGGATGCCCACATCCCACATTGGGGTGAAGGGCTTTGGGGGGCATCTGCGCCTCAGTCTCTTCTGTGGGCCTACAGGAGTTGTCTGATGGAAAAACAGGGAGAAAATGAGAGGGGAAGAGGTGGGGGGAGACTGTGAAGGCTGTGGAGCTGGTCCCAGAGTGGGGAAGCACGAAGGCCCCACAGGGCAGCAGGGAGGGAGCTGGGGGGGAGGAACAGAGTCACAGGTGGCCACAGAGGGCAGAGGTCACAGCCAACTGGTGGCCAACAGGAGCTCAAAGGGATGGGATGGGCCAGGCTGAAGCCAGGAGCTCCATCTGGGTCTCCTACAACAGTACAGGGGCCCAAGCACCTGCACCATCATCTGCTGCCTTTCAAGGCCTGGATTAGCAGGGAGATGGATCAGAGTGGAGCAGCCGGGACTGGCACCAGATAGGCCTAAGGGATGCAGGCGCCCTGTGCAGCGACCTAGCCCAGCCCACCCTCACCAGGGGCACCAGCTCACCCTGCTCCCGCCCCCAGGGCAGCAAGGAGCGCTTCCACTGGCAGAGCCACAACGTGAAACAGAGCGGCGTAGATGACATGGTACTGCTGCCCCAGATCACCGAGGACGCCATCGTGGGCAACCTGCGCAAGCGGTTCATGGATGACTACATCTTTGTATCCGGGCTGGGGGCGGGGCGGTGGGCAGCAAAGGGAGTCTACACGGAAGGGCAGATGCACCAGCCGGGGCAGGCAGGTGAATGAGGAAGGGCGGGGCAGGAAGGGTGGGCGGACAGCGGGGCTCCGGTTGGGGGCAGTTGTGGTCCTGTCTGCTCTCTGTCCTGGGGCGGCTCAGTCACAGCAAATCCCACTCGGCCCACTGTGGACTCAAGCTCGATTTGTCCTGAGAGACTCCGGGTGCATCAGCGTGAGGTCCAGCTGGGTGGTGGGAAGCCCCTGGGAAGCACCATGGAGGGGCGGGGAACTGCGGGGAGCAAGCCACAGGCCCTTAACCGCATCCCAGACATACATCGGCGCGGTGCTCATCTCCGTGAACCCCTTCAAGCAGATGCCCTACTTCACCGACCGCGAGATTGACCTCTACCAGGGCGCGGTGAGGCCCAGGCCCGGGGCCCCAGTGGGGCGGGGTGGAGGGACAGGCCTGAGAGCCCCAGCCCCTAGTTCTAACCCCCCACCACCCCTGCCAGGCCCAGTACGAGAACCCCCCGCACATCTACGCCCTGACGGACAACATGTATAGGAACATGCTCATCGACTCTGAGAACCAGTGCGTCATCATCAGGTGCGGGGTGAGGGGCCCCCTCCCCAGGGGGCAGCTTGCCTGGGCTCCCCATCTGAACAAGCCCCACCAGCCCTCTCTGCTCCCTGGCCTGGTTTAGTTTCCTTGTTGCTGTTGGACTCGTATTTACTCATTGTTTTTGTCCATCTGTCCCCTGTGAACATCAGCTTGGCACACAGTAGGTACTCAAGGGATGAATAAATGAATGAGTGAATGAATGAATGAGTGGTCCACCAGAATGAGCCCTTCCCCTGACCATTCCTTTTCCCACCCTCCCCCAGTGGTGAGAGCGGAGCCGGGAAGACGGTGGCTGCCAAGTACATCATGGGCTACATCTCCAAGGTGTCTGGCGGGGGTGAGAAGGTCCAGGTGAGGCGGGAGTGCCCCACCTGCACAGCGGTTCATCCCCACACCCACGCCTGCCAGCCCCAGGCTGACCACTTCCCGCCCTGCCTGCCTCTTTCCCCAGCACGTCAAGGACATCATCCTGCAGTCAAACCCCCTGCTCGAGGCCTTTGGCAATGCCAAGACCGTGCGCAACAACAATTCCAGCCGCTTTGTGAGTCTACAAGCCCACCTGTGTGCACATGCACACGTGTGCACACACACAGACACACACACACAGAGGACACCAGCCCCAGGGGAAACCTAGCAGGAAATACCTACTTAGACATAGGCTGGGAGACTCACTTCCTGCTTATGGTCCGTCAGGAATAGAGTCCCCCATCGGCAGAGCTGAGGAGGCCATGACACCTCTATCCAACACCCATGAATACTCCCCTAGCCGTGGCCATGCTACTCCTGTTCCTACTCACATTTCAGGTCCAGTGAGTTTTTTTCATTCATTCTTTCTTTTTCAACAAATTCTTCTTGGGCTCCTTATTTGTGTGAGATGCACTGCTAGGCCCAGTGAAACACAAAACAGGTAAATAGATCTGGATTTATGGTCCAGTTCTGTCATGGTTTAGCTGTGTGGCCTGCACAAAAAAAAAAAAAAAAAAAAAGCCTGTTAGGATGCCCACATCCCACACCAGGGTGCTTGGCATTAGTTCCCAGCTCTGGCTCTTGATTCTAGCTTCCTGCAGACCCTGTAAGGCAGCGGTGACAGCCAAGGGGATTCTCTCAATTTGGGGGGGGGGGGGCAGTTTATGGGCATTTAGGAAGGTGAACCAATAGGTGGAGGAGCTCATTCTCTTCCTCAAATACGTAAGTAAAAAAAATTTAAAAGAGAGATTGAAAGTCCGAGACGGCCCTGCCCCATGGATTCAGCCTCTGGTGCGGGCCTCATGGCAATGGCATTGCAAGGGTGGGAGTACCTGAGGAACAGGCCAGAGAGAGAGACAGGAAGCAGCGAGACACAGGGCCCAGCAGCTGTTCAGATAAGAACTTGCTCTCACAGGACCTACCTGGGTCCCAGGAGAACTACTGGAATCTTTTGCAAGGGCAGCACCCTCAATGACCTCACCACTTCCCACTAGGCCCCTCCCTCCTTTTTTAAAGGGAAAGTAACAGAGAGGACGAGATCTCCCATGTGCTGGTTTACTCCCAAAGTGGCCACAACAGCCAGGTCAGGGCCTGGTCAAAGCCAGGAGCCAGAAGCCAGGAATTCCATCCGGGTCCCCGACATGGGTGGCAGGTACTTGAGCTGTCACGTTCTGCCTCCCAGGGAGGCAGGAGCTGGACTCCATCCCAAGCTCTGATACGGGATGTGGACGTCCCACTGCACCATGTAGCCCACTCTTAAACCTCCACCATGTTTCAACATGGCCACACTGAGGGACCTAGCTGCTTCCAGCTCGTGATCCTCTGGAGGCCACACTCAAATACATCCAAACCCAAGCAGGGGCTGCGTGTTTCCCTCCCGGCCACAGGGCAAGTACTTTGAGATTCAGTTCAGCCGTGGCGGGGAGCCGGACGGAGGCAAGATCTCCAACTTCCTGCTGGAGAAGTCCCGCGTGGTCACGCAGAATGAAAACGAGAGGAACTTCCACATCTACTACCAGGTGCGGGCCAGGGAGCCACAGCCCCAGGGCGGAGGGAGCCCCACTGGGAAGCCGTGGAGGAGACAACAAGAAAAGTCTGGGAGCTGTGCCACGCCCAGCTCAGGCGCGGGTCCACTGTACTCCCTGCAGCTGCTGGAAGGGGCCTCCCAGGAGCAGCGGCAGAACCTGGGGCTCATGACGCCTGACTACTATTACTACCTTAACCAATCGGACACCTACAAGGTCGACGGCACAGACGACAGGAGTGACTTCAGCGAAACTCTGGTGAGCACCGGGCACCCCTCCAGCCCTTGGGTGCAGGAAACCGCCTCAAGTTACAAACCAGGGGAATGAGGCCCAGAGAGGGGCAGGGACTTATGCAAGGTCACACAGCAGAGTGGACATCAAAGGCAGGATGGAGGTGGCAGTGGGGGGATCTAAGGGTCTTGACTCCCTGAGTCTGTGCTGCAGCCCCAGGAGCCTGACCCTGGGGACGAGGGAGAGGTCCAGCTGGTGGTTCAGGTTCTGTCCCCGCTGTGCCCACAGAGTGCCATGCAGGTCATTGGGATCCCGCCCAGTGTCCAGCAACTGGTCCTGCAGCTCGTGGCAGGGATCTTGCACCTGGGGAACATCAGCTTCTGTGAAGATGGGAATTATGCCCGGGTGGAGAGCGTGGACCGTGAGTGTGGGCGCGGGAAGGCAGGTGGGGGCCCGCTCATCCCCAGGAGGGTGAGAACTCGGTGTGGGGGGGTCAAGGTCAGAGTCCCTGGGCAAGAGGGGGGGGGGAGAGGGAGGGGCTGGCGTGAGGCCCGAGAGCCTGACCAGCTGCCCGCCCTTTGTCCCGTGGCCGGGCAGTCCTGGCCTTTCCCGCCTACTTGCTGGGCATCGACAGTGGGCGCCTGCAGGAGAAGCTGACCAGCCGCAAGATGGACAGCCGCTGGGGTGGGCGCAGTGAGTCCATCGACGTCACGCTCAATGTGGAGCAGGCGGCCTACACCCGCGACGCCCTGGCCAAAGGCCTCTATGCCCGCCTCTTTGACTTCCTGGTGGAGGCGAGTGGGGCCTGGGGGGTGGTGGGCGAGGCTGTTACAACCTTGGCAGCTCGTGCAGTTGGGTCCTGCCACACGCGCACACACACACACACACACACACACGGGAGACCTGGATGGGGAGTTCCTGGCTCCTCTCTCTCTCTCTCTCTGCCTTAAACATTTTCACAAGAGTGAGAACCGGCTGGGGAGGGCCTGCCCGGATGCCCACCGACCTCCTGTCCACACCTCGCTCACAGGCCATCAACCGAGCCATGCAGAAGCCCCAGGAAGAGTACAGCATCGGCGTGCTTGACATCTACGGCTTCGAGATTTTCCAGGTTCGCGGCCCCTGGGCCCCGCCCCCTGGCCCACACCCTGCCCTCCCTGTGAGCTGGGGTTGGCCCCCAGCGGGGGCCCACTGAAGGAAGGGTGCCTGTCCCCCCTTGGCAGAAAAACGGCTTTGAGCAATTCTGCATCAACTTTGTCAATGAGAAGCTGCAGCAGATCTTCATCGAGCTCACCCTGAAGGCAGAGCAGGTCGGCCGGCGCGGGCAGGGCCGGGGCACTCGGAGTCGGGGGGCAGGACCATGTGAGGGACATGGACAGCTGGGGGACCCTGTTCCCATCTCTCTCTCTCTCTCTCTGCTTGCCTGCTCAGGCTCCATCGTAAGATTTCTTAAAATATTTACTTATTTATTTCATCTCAAAGGCAGAGCAACAGAGAGAGGGAGAGACTGAAAGAGAGAGGCCTTCCACCTGCTGGTTCACTCCCCAGATCCAGCCACAACAGCCAGGGTTGGATCAGGTCAAAGCCAGGAGCCAGGAACTCCATCCTGGTCCCCCAGGCACACCAGCAGGGAGCTGGATCGGAACCAGCGCTCATACAGGATGCTGGCGTCGCAGGCAGCGGCTTAACCTGCTGCACCACAACATGGGCCCTTTCCTGATTGACTGTGAGGACATTTTGGAGGCAGCCGTCAAGAGTCACTTTGGGTGCCCGCTTCCCATATGAGGGGGCAGGGGTTTGATCCCAGCTTCTTGCTCGTGTGCATCCCGGAAGGCAGCAGCTGATGGCTCCAATCCCTGCCACCCACATGGGAGAACTGTGTTGAGTTCCCTGCTCCACACAGGAGCCAGCAACAGTGCTGGGTGATGGGGGGAGGGGCATGCAAGGGGTACCGGCCACACCCCTTCCACCCGCCCCCATGTCCACCTCCAGGAGGAGTACGTCCAGGAGGGCATCCGCTGGACCCCTATCCAGTACTTCAACAACAAAGTCGTCTGCGACCTCATCGAAAACAAGCTGGTGAGGGCTGGGCCAACTTAGGGTCCCCAACATGAGGCCGGGAGACCCCAGACAGGGGCTATGACACCCTGGGCAGGAGCCCTCTCTACCCTGTGTCCACTCCCTCCAGAAGGTGGAGCACAGCTGAAATAGCCCTGCAGTCATCCATTCATTCTGCCCACCTGCTCACCAGTCACTTATTCATTCAACAAACACTGCCCAAGGCAGACTAGCTCAGAATCAGAGGGGTCGAAACTGACAGGTGTCCCACCAATTGATTTCAGTCCCTGGAAGGAAAGGAAGGGTGGATTCCTGTAGAGCTTCCCCGGGGGGACCCCCACACACAGCTGAGTCCCTCACTAGCACTTTTTGGAAGCCCCGCCCTCAGCTCTGGCCATGTCCTTACCTCCACCTCCACGCTAGGGGAGCAACATGGGGCAGGGCCAGGCCTGAGTGAGCCCCTCCCGCCTGTCCCCGCAGAACCCGCCAGGCATCATGAGCGTGCTGGACGATGTGTGCGCCACCATGCACGCCACGGGTGGCGGTGCCGACCAGACACTGCTGCAGAAGCTGCAGGCGGCTGTGGGCACCCACGAGCACTTCAACAGCTGGAGCGCCGGCTTCGTCATCCACCACTACGCCGGCAGAGTGCGTGATGCCCCGGCATTGGGCCCCCACCACTATGATGGTCCTTGTGCCCCCAGGGACACCAGGTTGCAGCCCCGCCCCCATACCCAGACTGGAACAACCCTGCAGGGACTCCCAGCCAGGACTGCAGGATTCCATAAGCCCCCTCCTCCAGGCCCCACCCTCCACCATGGACCCCTTCCCACTGACTCCAGGAACTCTCAACCCCCTGCACCTGCCTGGCAGGGCTGCAGGAACCCATTGGCCCCTGCTCATGGCCTCAGCTTCCCCCAACCCACAGAGTGGCTCCCCCTAAGAGACAGGACACAAGCCCCTCCCCATAACCCCAGCTTGGGCAACAGATCACCAGCACTCTCCCCGTGCCTAGAGACCCTCCCCCCCCCAGAACAAATCTGCAAGCACCGCCCCCAGGCATCTGCTGTAAGCCGCCACCCTTCAGAGTGGGCTTGGGCTCCCTACTGACCCCCACCCAAGGCGACAGAAACCCACTGGCCTCCCACGCAGTAGACAGCACTGTGGATTCTCCCACCCTGCTCCCGAGACCTTGGCACGGGCAGCTGGCTTTCCCAGGAGGCTCTGCCCCAAGCTAACACCACTGCCCACCAACCCCTAAAATGGTCAGGTGTTCCCCCAGCCAGGACTAGAGAGAGCCTCCCCCTACCCAAGATAGCAGCCCCAGCCCAGACTCTGACCTCCCTGGCCCCGCCTCCCAGTCCCCCAGTTGACCACAGATTTCTAGGCTGACTGGAATTGACTCCACATTAAGTAGCAGCCCCCAGGGACCCTCCCCCAACCTGGACTGCAGCCTCCCACCCCCCCAATCGGGATTCACAACTTTTACCTCCCCTGCCTCAGATCCAAGCTGCAGCACCTACCCTCCAACCTCAACTTAAACATCAGACCCAGGAGCCCGGGAGCTGTGAACCGCAGATTTCTCCAACCACAGCTGTAGATGCGACCGACCCCCTCCCAGAGCAGGATCCCAGGACCCCCGACCATCTGGGCTATGAGCATCCCCCATGTCTCCCTCCAGGTCTCCTATGATGTCAGCGGCTTCTGCGAGAGGAACAGGGACGTCCTCTTCACTGACCTCATAGAGCTGATGCAGACCAGTGAGCAGTGAGTGGCCCTGGGGGGTGCGGGCGTCCAGGAAGAACCCCCTTGAGGTGGTGGGGAGGACTGGGGATCACTCCCCCATCTTCCCCAGAGCTCCTGTCACCCCTCAGACTTTCCGGGGATGGCTGTGCAGTCAGATAGCTCCTGCTGGCTAGTTCCAATGTGAAAGGGACTTGGGGCTCCCAGGGTCCTTCAGAATGCTCTTAACAAATGGAAAGAAACAATGAGTTTTTCTGGGATGCAAAACATTTGGAAATCCTTGCATTTGTTTTTTCATAACTTGCATTTTCCATGAACTTCTGGGAGACCCCTAGTACATGCATGGATTTCAAACTGTTGTACACCAAATAAAAATAAATCTTTTATTATTATTATTATTTGAAAGGCAGACAGAGACACAGAGAGCACTCATCTGCTGGTTTGCTCTCCTAATTCCTGCAATCACTGGGCCTGGGCCAGGGCTGAAGCCAGGATCTGGGAACTCAACCCACGTCTTTGTGTGGATGGCAGGAACCCAAGTACTTGGGCCATCACCACTGCTTCCCAAGGCGTGCATCAGCAGGAAGCTGGAGTCAGGAGCTGGAAGCTGGGATCAAACCCAGGCACTCCACTGTGGGACTCAGCAGTCTTCATTAATAGGCCAAATGCCCACCCCCTAAATTAATCATTTAATGCCAACTCTCCAAGAACTTTCTGAAGTACCCTTGTATTTCTTCGGATACACGTGCAAACATGAACATGTACAACTGTCGTAAGGGGAACCAGCTTTGTGGCACAGTAGGTGAAGCCACGGCTTGAGACACCAGCATGCCACACTGGAGCGCCAGTTCAAGTCCTGGCTGCTCCGTTTGTGATCCAGCTCCCTGCTAATGCCAATGCACCTGCAAAGGCAGCAGATGATGGTCCAAGGGCTTGGACCCCTGACACCCATGTGCAAGACCCAGATTGAGTTCCTGGCTCCTGATTTCAGCCTGGCTTTGACCTGGCTGCTGTGGGCATTTGGGGAACCAGCGGATAGAAGATCCCTCTCTCTGTCTGTCTCTCTACCCCCAACCTTGCTCTGCCTTTCAAATAAATAAATGTTTAAAAAAGAAGAATGAGAGGAGAAGGGAGGGAGGGAGCAAAGGAAATGAATGAATGAATGGTCCCCAGGAAGGGACCTGATCCTGCTGCCCAAGATGCTTCCCCAGGTGGCAGTCACCCTTTAGTATCCATGGAGGGCTGATTCTAGGATCCCCCAAGGACACCCAACCCCTAGATACTCAAATCCTTTCCATAAAATGGCCTAATATTTACACATCCTTCAGTCTACTTTAAATCTTTCTAGATGACCTAACAATACCTAATACAAGGTAAATGCTACATAAACAGTTGCTACACTGTTTTGCCTACCTACTAGAAAATAAAGAGTCTGGGAGCAGCGTTTGGCCTAGTGGTTAACACTTCCGAGTCGACATCAGAGTATCTGGGTTCCATACTCAGCCCCACTGCCGCTAATGCAGACCCTGGAAAGCAGCAGTAATGCCTCCATTGACTGGGTCCCTGCACCCATGTGGGAGACCCACACTGAGTTCACAGCCATTGGTCTCGGCCCCAGCCAGGGCACAGTGCTGGCATTTGGGGAGTGAACCAGCAGATGCAGGATTCT